CTTCCAGGCCCTGGTCTCACCAGCCTCGCTCCCCAGGCCCCAGGCTTTCCAGCCTCACCACTGGACTCTGTTCTCATCAGCCTCATGCATTAGGATTCATTCATTAAACCCCTTCTTCAGCCCCTGGGGCCTAACTTACTGACCTCACCCAGTGGACTTCCCAGGGTATGAACTCTCCTTATACCAGCTAATGATTTCTGTTACTTTGTTTAGATCTAGTCGCACTCTTTAGCTGTCTCGTGTCCCCATACCGACAGCAACTACAATGGCTCACTTATCGACGCTCCCTGAACTGCAGCATCACCAGCTTTATCAATCAGGGTCTGGCCTTGCCAGTTTTGCCCAGCTGACCTTGCCTTCATCAGCTATTTCTCAAGCTACGTCTTACAGCCTCAGTTATGGTCCAGTTGGTAGTGTACATGCCTCTGAGCCAGAAGGTTGGAGAGGCTGGAGAACAAAAATATTAGCTGTTGCCTACGTGCAATAGCAATGTGGGTTCCGTACACTGTAGGTAAATCCGATAGTAATCGGTCCAAGCTTACTTCCCCAGGTCAGTACGACCTCAGCTGTCTGGCGGCACGCTTAACAGGGTAGAAAGAAACATTAATGACCTTCTGTGCTGCGCCCACTCTCACATCTTCCCTCACTTGCTCTCACCCTCTGCAACCTCACCACCGCCCCACCCCATCCCACAGCACTAACCCTGCATGCCTTCTATGGTGCTCTCTCATTTTCACCCACACTAGCAATGACAGCAGCGCAACCCACTTACATTTCCCTTGTTAACTCCCTGTCTGTCACTCTCAGGAAACAGCCCACAAGAGAGCAGAATCTTTTGAGACGGGTGGTGGGCTGCCCAATGTTCTGTTCTTCACCCCCGTTATGTGGAGAGTGACGTGGCCTTCATCACCTGAGCTGATTGTGCGAAAGCCCCTGGTGTGGTATCAGTGGCTGTCTTTGACTTACTGTGTCAGGACCCCTCCTCTGGCCAAAGGGTGTTATCCCTTGACTTGACTTGAGAACTGCTGCCAACCAGGGCAAGCTTCCTGGCTTTGTACCTGTGCTAAATGTCAAGGCAAGATAACCTTGCAGCTCTGCCTGAGGTGGTGTGGGTGATGGGGACGCTGGGGCAAATTCTCCCAACAAAGGAAGATAAAGATGCTACAGGCATCCAGGCAGACTCCACACAAGGGAGTACTGAGAAAGAAGGCAAGCAGCCAAGAAATGCACCCTAATCCCATCTGTGAGCTGCGTGTCTGTCCCTGCATACAATGCCCTCCCACCAGCCTTTCCATCAGACGTGCCAGTGTACCCCATTTTGAACAATTAAAGAGTTATAGAGTCATATAGGACAGGCACAGGCCCTTTGGCCCGACTTGTCCATGCTGATCAGATTTCCTAATGCTGTGAATGGCAAGGCTTTGCGAGTCCTCATTCGTGAATCACAAAAAGTTAGCATTGTGAATTCAGGGGGTAATAGGGAAGGCGAAGAGAATGCTGGCCTTTGTTTCAAAGGAAATGGAATGTGAAAGGAGAGAGGTATTGACAGAGCAATGCAAAATACTAGTCAGACCACAGTTATAATACTGTGAATAGTTTTGGGCACTTTATCGGAGGAAAGATAAGTATTGTTGGCAGTCCAAAGAAGGTTCACTAGGCTGATGCCAGGTATGGAAAGACTGTCTTTCAAGTAGTGGTTGAGGAATTCGTTGGAATATAGAAGAATGAAGGGTGATGATCTTGAAACCTACGAGATTTGAAATGGATTTGACAAAGTCGACTCAAAAAAAGGTTGTTTCCTATTGCAGGAGAGTCTAGGACCAGAGGATATAATCTCAGAGTAAAGGGTCACACTTTTAAGAGAAAGTTGAGGAGGAATTAGTTCTCTCGGAGGGAAGTGATTATGTGAAGTTCTTTTACCACAGAGGGCTTTCAAGGCTGGGTCATTAGGTGCACTTGAGGCAGAGGTACGCAGATGTTTAATCAGTAAGGGTTGTGGGGAAAGGGCAGGAACGTGGTGTTGATGATGATCAGACCAGCCTTGATCTCCTTGCAGAATGCGATGGGCCAAGTGGCCCGCGTCTATTCCTACGTTTTATGGTCATTAAGATGCAGGGAGTCTGGCACAAGTTGGCAGCCAGACACAAGGGGTACAATGTAGCCACTGCCCTCAAAGTGTAGCCTGAGATGCTGGTGCTAGCTGCCCAAGATGGTGGTCCGAGGGAGCAAGTAATGAGCTCACATCACCAGGTACCCACTCTGACTTTCATTTCAGGAATTGGGGATGTCTGGTTTCCTTGCAACAGCACGTAGGAGAAAGAACTGATTATTAAAGAAATGTGAATCGCAGTTAGTGGCACTGATAACAAATGATTATCCCTGTGAAAAGGCGACGTCTGTCTTGTTTCAACTCCTGGAACTTTGAAAATCCAGTAAGCTGCTCTTGCCATTGAGAAAGACCTCACCTGATTTCTCATGCAATGTTTGAAGATTTTGCACCATGGCGTATGTCATTCAGGCACCAGTAAGATTTCACCCATAAACTTTCTCCTTACTCCTGAATGCTTTGTCTGTTCATGCTCTTGAATGCAAGGACATAATTTCTGTCAGTATGTCCTGTTCCTGCTGGGTGACATTGTTTACCCTGGTATCAGGGAGACATGATTCTTATCTGTGAATAACACTCAGTGCCAAATCCCTTGTTATCATTTAATTTTGACTCTTTCCCTCACCAATGTGTGCTGTCAATCTTCCAAACTGTTGGGAATGTGATACTGACTGGATTCCCCGAAGGAGCAGTCACTGTCCCCAGGATTCAAAACAGAGTCGGACTTGGTGAAAAGTTGACTAAAATTGAAAACTTTAATTAATATGTTATGAGTGGACTGACTGAGAAAGGGATTCTGAATGTTCATCTCACTGTGTCATTTCATGTTTGTTTAAGGTTTACTTGAAAGTTGAATAAAGAATCTGACAATTGTAAGGTAATATTGATTCTTTATTGGATTTCTAAGCAATGGGAGGAAAACGCATGGAGATAGTTTCAGAAATTACATTAGAATTAGGATACAGAAAGGAGCATTATTTTCAAAAATTCATCAGCTTTATTTTAGCATAAGCTGTGAGACAATTCCTTAAGAGCTGAGAGCTTTTGATAATGATGAATTGCATTTCTTGATGGAAGATGAAAGGTTTCTTTCATTGCGGATTTAATGGTACTGCTTCGAAATGGCATCAACCACCACATTAAAAAATTTCTCCCAAGTGCATTGGACCTCAGGACTGAAGCCTGTCTTTTTGTGACAGGCCATTGAGATGAGAATGCAGTCAGTCAGCAACTAGAAAGAGAAACAGAAATAAAAAGCATTGATTTAATTGGAAACAAAGTGTGCACCAATAGGTTAAACTGAAAACTTACTGCAGCTTAGAATGTTGTCAGAAAATATATTAATCACGACAGGGAAAGATCCTTGTGTCCTCAGAATAGTATGGTTATGTGGCACAGTGGTAGTATCGCCACTTCTTAGGCAGACAATCCCGGCTCAAGTCCCACATGCCCCAATCCCAATGTTTAACAAAAACTCCATGGACCAATCAGTAATAAGTAATCATTCAGATCAGCTTGTAAAGCATCCTATGAGCCATTGATTAGATCAAGTTGGACAGGATGAATTTTTACAGTTTGATTTTTACAGACCTGCATACTCCACCTCCAATGTAATGAACTTACTCGACTTTGCAGCAAAAGTGAAAGGAGAGGCAGTCTCTCACTGGAAACCCCCCAGTGCAACATGTCCCCTTTTCCAGGGAATCTCAGTTGACTGAGTGTCATGTTAATGCTGAGCCCGGGGTTAGCTTGAAGCTACAACATGACTTCAATGGAAATGGAACATATATTTAAAAGTGAAGACTTGGTACTTACATGGAAGCTTCCAGAATCAATGTGTAGAACGTCAGCATGCTTCTTGCTGAGTTCTGCAAACTGCTCCTTAACTTTATCCATATGGTTGACAGCTGTAGTCAGAGCATCTGACACTGTTTTCGCATGTTCATGAACTACAAAGTTTGGCCGTTTATCGAAATAACGTTTGGTCCAAGGAAAGACATGGAACATCCTGCAAGGGAAAAGCGTAACGATTCATTCTAATGCCAAGTTCCAACTTGCATTTATACACCTCAAAGCTAATCAATGAATATTTTACAACAAAGCTACATTTTACAGCAGTTTGACTGGAACTGCAATGAATCCTTTGATATGAACTTCCCTATCCTGCAGCAACACACATGCAGCACAAGAAACTTGTGTAAACGTAGGGGATACATTCAACCGAAAATAAAATTTGCTACACTGTACCTGTCCAGGCTTTCATGAACAATTGTAACCTTGTCCAGTTTCTTCCATTGGCCTTCGATTTCGTTTCTCTCCACGTCAGTCCAGTGCACCATTTTGTCTGTTGAGAGGTCACTGCTTTCCCTTACACAAAAAAGCTGTGCTGATCCTCAGTTTGTGTCTAATTTTATAGCCTGCATCAGGGCTCTTCCCCAAAGGTAAATCCCAATGTCATTGGCTGAATCTTTTTGGGCTGGGTGGGACCCCAATGCCCTATCACTGGGTAACACTCTTCTGTTTCAGCATTAAGATAACCGCATGTTGAACATTAATCAGTCCTTCCTACCTCAATTCTGTCCAGTCATCACAAAGAGAGTCATGCTGTTTTGCTGAATAATAGTTATGTTAAGCAACCCGTTCAGAGATGTTAAGACACACCTCTGAGACACAACTCTCACCAGTTGCTTCTCTGAATCCTCATCCACCTCTGCCCTTACCACCACCATTTCCCAGCATTCTCCATGGACACTGCCCTCCTCTGCACACTTCATGCAGACAAGTTGGCACCAGCAAACCACCAGCCTTGCCAAATCAACATCCCACGACACTGAGTCTCATTTCTTACAGCTCACTCTTTGTGCTCACTCCCAGGCTACCAGGCTCTGGCGTCTGTATTGCTTGTTCACACAGAGGGTGAAGTAGGCAGCTTGTCACTTCAGGGAGCACTGAACAGACAAGTGGCTGACTAATGTTGCTGTGCACCATTCTGCCACGCTGTGAGTGAACTTCTTATGTCATAGACATAGAGATCTACAGCCAGGAGAAAAAGCCCTTCAACCCATTGAGTCTGTGTCAGTCAACAACGTAATTATCTCTGTGACAAGCATACTACATGTTCTTCAAACAATTACCATGTCTGAATGTCAAATAGGACAAGTCCTCATTGGGACCAAAGGTGATCCATCAGGGGGCACTGCCGTAGTCAATCTAGTAGCTTTTCCAATTCCAGTCAAAGCAGTTAGCCATGATCAGTCAGGGGTTTGGTCCCAGCAGAGTTTGGGGCTCTGTGTCTGCAGATAGGAGCTACAGTCAACCAGACAAGTTGGGTTCAGCCAGATTTCTGGAGGTCCCCAGTCAATTCAATTCATTCCACATGATATTGAGAAATGGCTGGAAGCAGTGTATACTGCAAAGTCTATGAGCCTGAACAACATTCTGACAATGGGACAAAAGATGTGTTTTAGTTCATAAGGCCATAAAACCACAAGATATAGGAGCAAAATTAGGCCATTTGACCAAATGCCATTTGATCATGTTTGATATGTTTCTCAATTCCATTGCTCTGCCTTCTCCCCATAATCATTGATCCCCTTACCTACCAAGAACCTATCTATCTCAAAACATTGCTGTGGTCCAGGGCAAGCCAGTTACAACATTGTCCTATCCTCAAAAAGCAGGACAGATCTAACCCGAATAAATGCTACTTCAACAGTCAACTCTTGATGATCATCAAAGTGGTGGAAGGGGCCATCAATAGTGCTATCAAGTAGTACGTACTCCGCAAAGACCTGCCAAATAACATTCAGTTTTGGGTTCTGCCATGGCCACACATCCCCTGATTACAGCCTTGATGCAAACATGGAAATAAGAACTCTAGAGGTGAGGTGGGAGTGACTGCTTTTCACATCAAGGCTGAATTTGTTTAAGCATGACAGCAAGGGCTCCTAGAAAAATTGGATTCAATGAGAGTCAAGAGAAATGTCTACAATTACTTATAGTCAGTTCTAGAGCATAGGCAGATGGCCTTGGTTGGTGGAAGTCAGTCATTTAAGCTCCAGGACATCTCTGCAAGAAGCCCTCAAGGTAGTGTCTGAGGTACAACCATCATCAGATGCCTCATTAATGACCTTCCCCCCATTGTAAGGTCAGAACTATCAATGTTCGCATTGATTTTACAATATTCAACATCATTCCCAATTCCTCAAACACTGAAACAGTCCATGTTCAAATGCAGAAAAACCTGGGCAATATCGACATTCGGGCTGAAAAGTGGCAAGTATTATTCGTGCTCCTCAAGTGCCAGGCAATGACCATTTGCAACAAGATGGAATCAAGCCATCACCACTTGATATTCAATGGCACCCTATTTGATTGGCATCACATCTACGAACTTCACTCCCTGTACCACGGATGCTCAATAGCAACAATGTGTACTATTTACAAGATACACTATAAAAATTCACCAAGGCTCCTCCACCAGCACTTTCCAAACCCAGGGTCACTTCCATCATTGAAGGACAAAGGCAGCAGATACTCAGGAATATGAACACATGTAACTCCCAACGAAACCACTCACCATCCAAACTTGGAAATGCATCACCATTCCTTCAGAGTCGCTGAGTCAAAATCCTCGAACTCCATTGCTAATGACAAGTGAAAATTGACGACAGCACATCAAGAAGCTAGCACATCACCATCTTCTTGAGAGCGACCAGGGATGGTCATTCGAAGGTCAGTCTTGGTGCAAATCTTCAATGTTCTCAAGAGAAACTAGAACGAGTGGCGACTTGATTTCTGTGTGGAGATATTGTCACCTTGAAGATATGTGATGGAAGATGTACCTCACAACCAACGGCATGTACACGCAACTGTAGGGACTTCCCTCAGCTGCAGCTGGCTGACCAGGAAGAAGTGAACTCACCACCAACACAGGTCACAGGTTAACCATCAGACCTGGACTGCACAGCAACCTCAACAACAGAAATAGAGCAACAATGGCGATCAATGCAACAAGAAGTGACACAAGAACAACACTCCCTGGGGAAACAACATCACCCAGATGAATTGGCAAAGACTATAACATTGTGCATGTGCCATTGAGAGAGGTAAAGGAAAAGTCACCATAGTCCCACTGGTGGGAAGCTGGTGGGAAGTTTATTCTGAGGTGACCCCGCCTTAGTTAAGGCGTAAGGTTGAGAAGGCAGGACCTTAAGAGTCACCTCAGCCAGTACAGGAATTGAACCCACACTTTTGACACCATTCTGCTTTGCAAACCAGGAGTCCTGCCAACTGAACTAACTAATCCCATCTATTAAGGGATCAGCACGATTTAAGAACGATGTATAAAATATAAATATATAGACTGAAGGGAATAAGAAATGGTTAAGGCACCCTAACAGCATTGTGGGTGTACCGACACGACATAGAATGCAACGGTTTATGAAGACAGCTCAAGACCACCTTCTCAGGGACAGTTCGGGATGGGCAACAAATCCTGACCTAGCCTAAATTGTCTGAAGAATAAATTTTAAACATCTCAAATTCAACTTTTTGTTATTCTCTGAACATATTTTTTGATCAAGCAGATACACTTTTCTGTAATATTATGCTCACTAGTACCAGGGATTTTCCCTGCCGCTACTTCTCCAACGACTCAACATTAATCCCAACTACTAGATCCAATAGCAATTCTTTCTATGTTGGGCGTTGCACAGAATGGGCCAGAAAAGTATCCTGTACACACCATGGGAATTTCCTTACCTTCCCTCTTCTGTCAATACATATCAGGCTCATTGAAATTCATTCATTGACGGAACGCAAGTGGAATGTGGGTTCAACGTTGATCACAGAATTGCAGATATAGGGGAATAAGAAGCAGGACACAACATTAGAACAGGTTTAGAGGAGCTGGCTACTCCATGGTTATCAGGGTTTGAACCCTTTCCCCACATTGAAACCTGTCTCTGGAATGGACGTCCAGTCCCTATACCCCTGCATTCCCCATGCAGATGGCCTAAAGACTCTCCACTTCCTCCTGTCCCGCAGGCCGGACCAGTCCCCCTCCACTGACACCCTCATCCGCTCAGCCGAACTCGTCCTCACCCTCAACAACTTCTCTTTCAATTCCTCCCACTTCCTACAGACAAAGGGGGTGGCCATGGGTACCTGCATGGGGCCAAGCTATGCCTGCCTCTTTGTAGGTTACGTGGAACAATCCCTCTTCCGTAGCTACACTGGCCCTAAACCCCACATCTTCCTCCGTTACATTGATGACTGTATCGGCGCCGCCTCGTGCTCCCACGAGGAGCTCGAACATTTCATCCACTTCACCAACACCTTCCACCCCAACCTTATGTTCACCCGGACCATCTCTGATACCTCTCTCTCCTTCCTGGACCTCTCTATTTCCATCTCTGGCAACCACCTGGAAAACGATATCCATTTCAAGCCCACCGTCTCCCACAGCTACCTAGAATACACTTCCTCCCACCCACCCTCCTGCAAAAATGCCATCCCCTATTCCCAAATCTTTCGCCTCCGCCGCATCTGCTCCCAGGATGAGGCATTCCACTCCCGCACATCTCAGATGTCCTCGTTTTTCAAGGACCGCAACTTCCCCCCCTCAGTGGTCGAGAACGCCCTCCGCCGTGTCTCCCACATTTCCCGCAACTCATCCCTCACACCCCCTCCCCGCAATAACAACCAAAACAGAATCCCCCTCGTCCTCACGTACCACCCCACCAACCTCCGGATCCAACGCATCATCCTCCAACACTTCTGCCTTCTGCAATCCGATCCCACCACCAAAGACATTTTTCGCACCCCACCCTTATCTTCTTTCCGGAGGGACCACTCTCTCCGGGATTCCCTTGTCCGCTCCACACTCCCCTCCAGCCCCACCACACCTGGCACTTTTCCCTGCAACCGCAGGAAGTACTATACCTGCCCCTTCACCTCCCCCCTCACCCCCATCCCAAGTGCCAAGAAGACTTTCCACATCAAGCAGATGTTCACCTGCACATCTACTAATGTGGTATACTGCATCCGCTGTTCCCGCTGTGGCCTCCTCTACATCGGGGAAACCAAGCGGAGGCTTGGGGACCGCTTTGCAGATCACCTACGCTCAGTTCGCACAAAACAACTGCACCTCCCAGTCGCGAACCATTTCAACTCCCCCTCCCATTCCTCAGATGACATGTCCATCCTGGGCCTCCTGCAGTGCCACAACGATGCCCCCCAAAGGTTGCAGGAACAGCACCTCATACTCCGCTTGGGAACCCTGCAGCCCAATGGTATCAATGTGGACTTCACAAGCTTCAAAATCTTCTCTCCCCCTACTGCATCCCAAAACCAGGCCAGCTTGTCCCCGCCGCCCTAACCTGTCCTTCCTCCCACCGATCCCCTCCTCCCAACTCAAGCCCCACCCCCATCTCCGACCTACTAACCTCATCCTGCCCCCTTGACCTGTCCGTCCTCCCTGGACTGACCTACCTCCTCCCTAACTCCCCACCTACACTCACCTTTACTGGCTCCATTCCCGCCTCTTTGGCCTGTCTGTCTCCTCTCCACCTATCTTCTCCTCTATCCATCTTCTATCCGCTTCTCCCCTCTCCCTATTTATTTCAGAATCCCCTTCCCCACCCACACTTCTGAAGAAGGGTCTCGGCCCGAAACGTCAGCCTCCCTGCTCCTCTGATGCTGCTTGGCCTGCTGTGTTCATCCAGCTCTACACCTTGTTATCTCTGGAATGGACATGTCTGACCACCATAGTTTGCCATCCGCAAGTGAGGGATTAGCTAGAGACAGGGA